AATTACAATTATGTGATAATCTGTAAACAATCTTTCCTAAGCGCTGCATCCGTAACATAATCATTTGCACGTGCGTTTGAAAAACGTAAACCTTGAACTTCCGATTGTGAGAGAAAAAGACGAAGAACATTAATTATTCCCGTGACTTAAGATAGTTGTTCTAATTCCCGTCATGGTCTAATTTAAACTGAATTTTACCACCCGTTATATGAATATCTTTGTAGCAGAATAGCTTCGGACAGCTTCGGGCTGTCATGGACGCCCGAATTTTGTTCGTAAAGTAATTCTGTTTAAAATTTCCCTCTTATAACCTATCGCGATAGATGTGAACGATTTTGTAAAGAATAGAACGCATGATAACTCCGGAGAACTGACAGTTATGTGACGCAAGCGAAAATGTCAGAAAGACAGGTGAGATTAACGCTCCTGTTTCTCATTACATTTCCTTGTTCCTTCGATTTGTTATTCCTCATTTTCTAATATTTCGTCACTGAACATTTGTCGGAGCGAACTAAACTCATTGAAAAATAGAATCTGGCAAAACGTTTTCGACTATTGTTTTTAACCTCGTTTTGAAAGGTTACTGCGGACGACTCAATCGATACATTGTCCTCGAATTTTGTTTTCCTGAGAAACAATAAGTGTAACAAACTGCTTCTCGATTAATCCAAGTGTCCCTTATCATTTCTAAATGATTTTTCTCAGTATCGATACGCTTTAATTTTTCTATTTCGAAAGATACGCTAGTGAACGAGAAATAACTGTAACCTTCATTAGGTTAACCTTTCTTTCAAATGCGCTTTTTAAATTTGTTTTGAATTAACAGTACTTTATTTTACATTCTTTGTTTGTGCCTCTAAATCGTGGATTACGAGATAAAATCAACCAATTTATACCGAATTGAGTTTGTACTCTTTGACATGACACTGTATAAATTCCACTTGTTAAGTTTCAAACAAAACGTGTACCTCGAAATATTTTTAAAACATAGAGATTGACAGAAATAGAAGTTCCTTATATTCTTATCAAATTTGAGTGACATACAGCGGGAATAAGATATAAAACTGGAGCGTACAGAAACATATATAGCTCACTTAATTGTTAGTTATGTAATATTTGTTTAGTTCTAGACAATTAAATGACATGTACCATTGTTATTCATTTAATTTAAGAAATTAATAGATTTCTTAAATATATATTGCAATAAGAAAATATTCATGTGAATTTAATAATACTTATAATAAATATAATTGTTTTTTTCTCGTGCTTTCAGAATTTGTATATTGTTTCCTGTTGGTGATCGTTGTGGTTTCCTTTTTGGAAACCAGAAATCGTATACTACGTCACGGTAAGTTTTTGAACACTGCTGAATTGATTATGTAATCTTTATACTCTAATATAGCCAGTAGTTATATTACAGCTGATAGTCTCGATCATTTACTTTAGTCTATTAAATCACATCTAATTCATTGTTACCATTTTTAAGTTAGTATAAATAATTTTTAATTGAGGAAAAGAGTACGATTTCTCTTGTATGACAGATATAGACTTTTATACATGTACAATTAAGATATAACAAAACTGTTCTTTACTTACCGTGTCGAGAACTCTAAATGTGACTTCTCTTAATGCTACACCAAACTTGCTGTACAATCGAATGTAGTATTAGCTACCAATAAAGTAACAATGCTGTTAACTGTTGCATCATATCAGTCAACTGTTATTTTAATCTTAATATAGATAACTATCTTTGAATTAGGATCGTACAGTTAATGAGAAGAGTAACTTCTAATAATATTTAATATTTACTTCATAGTAATTAAACTATATCCGCACGTGGTCAATATTAGTTTGTCGAAAATTGTTTCTTGTACTTTGAACCAGTGGCATTTGTATTAGCATTAACGCTTTAACGATGGTTGAAATCTATGTAGTGACGAGTTCACGAAAAGGTGTTAAAAATGACGGTTTTTGAATATGGTTGTACAGTTATCAGTTTTTGTCGAACGATAACGAGAACGGAGAAAGACAGTTTCGTTTGTGACGATTGAGGTGTTCAGATGTTATTCAGAAGTGATCGTGATAGTCCGAAAGTTTGCTGATATCATTATTTCCGTTTTTCGTGTCGTCACATCCAGTTAATACAACATATTAAAAAGATACGTATACGTTTTAAAGTGTAATTTGAAAATTAAGCAATTATCAAACATTCTTTTACTTTTGTCAATTGAATACTGCAGTCAAATTAATATTTTTGTAAAATAATTTGAGAAAGTCTTTCCATTTCAAATACGTCTACATGTTTCTATACATAAAGAAGACAGTACATCGAGTCTGAAATTTGGGACTGATTACATCTTCAAAATTTTCCGTTCCTTTGTTTTATATTACTTTTGACTATTGCAACGGTAGACTTCTGTGCAAATAAAGCGGGGAATATTTGAGTTAGCAGTAAACGCCTGCCTTTTTATGTCGAAAGTCAGGCGTAGGTATAGTGAGAAATATTCTTGGAAAGTGATAGTGCACGATCATCAAAATGCTACTTAGAGGGATCGCATTTACCGAGGCTAGACGAAATTCTGCTAGACGTATTTTAAAGTCACAAAACTCCAGTTGCGAGAAGGATAACACTGAACTGACTTATGATGGGGTCTTTCATCGTAATTTGGGATCGAGGGCGAATACCTTTCCGCGATCACTCAATGAACATAGTTCCTCTACACCCTTTAATTTTGTAAGTTTATTTTTCCAATTAATTGTCTCAAGATAGAAGCTTGCTACGAGGAGATCGTCAATATCGTTTTCGAATCAGATTTGTTTCATTAAGTATCGTAAAACATTTGGAACTTTTATTTCTGATTGAAACAATTCAATTTTTGTACTCAATAAACTAGGATACTTACTGATTATACATAAACATGACTAATGATTTTATATTACGTGTGAATTAATATATTCGTGACATTCGGAGTCATACAGGAAAAACGTTTGTGTTTGCTATCCTCGTGGCAACACGATAACGTATCGATGATAAAATGGGTAGGAAAATTTTGCTATGCATCTCACGTGGTGACGAATTAGCAAGTTTTTAATACACCTTGATCGATAGGGATTTTGCTTGCAATTTATATGTACATTGTTTTTTTCAAAGATTAACTTTGAATACAGCTAGTTAATATAAGTCTTTCAGTGTACGATTAGGATTATAAAAAAAAACTAGTTATGTAAAATATTCTTATTCTATCGGACTTTAAACCATGTAGACTTGGTAACTAAATGCTGCTCGCTAGAAACGACGATGCGTATGCACTTTTCTGTATATGTACACGTATTAATAGCCTGAATTCGTTGTTTTGTACATTCCAGTAGCGTTTCGTCCTTGCTAGAAATTAACTTGCAGTTGTTACTGTTTACTCCGCGCCAATAGTGTCACCAAGCGTGCAGAATTAATTATTTAACAGCTTAACGACATTTAACTCCATTTACCTAATTAAGCACTATAATATTCGTAGAAATCAAATGGAAACGATGCATATGTTCATCGAATTGTGAGACTAATCATTTATAAAGATAACAAGTAATAAAAAAATGATTTAAAAAACTGATATCTCGTTGAGAGCGCGCAGGTAATGATTCATTAACTTTGTTCACCTGACGTAAGGCACGTAGACTCGAAACCGCAAGAAATTTGTAGTTTTTCGTTAGAAATGATTTAATTATGGAACATTCTACGGCAAATAATGTGAGTTTAATTGTAGAATAATATCATTGAAAACTTAAAATAAGACCTGAATAAGTGAGAAACGGGTGGGAGAATCACAGGCTGTTCATTGAAAACTGTTAAGGGGACTGACGTAACGTTATTATTTGCTTTTTGTTCGCATGTATGGTCGTCGATGAAGGAAGGTGAGGCGATATCCTTCGTCGCCACAGCGTCCAAGCTGGCCGCCGTGGAAGATGCGGCTCCGAAGGGGCCCGAGGCTTCGATTCGATCGAAAGTCTCGCCCACGACGAGGGCCACGCTTCAGGCCCTTCGGTCATGCAGAAACAGAATACCGGCTGCTCTCAGTCCATCTCCAATAACAACCAAAGACGCCGAAACCATCACAGGTGAATTTTACTTAATTGAAATCTTATGTTTCCCGTTCGAAGCGATATTTTTGTATTATACTAAGTCACAAATAATGAGTACCTTTAAGTACATTATTTTATAAGTTTATTATGACCAAAGCTTATGCAAACATTTCTACCACTTACCTAGCGATGAATTACAAAAGACCAAAAATCGCTTGATGATTTATTATTTGCATAACCGTATCCGGGACCAAGTAAATTGTTTCACTTATGGCACTTGTAACACTCGAACTGAGCCGCTGAGCTCATACGAAAGACAAGAATTCCCTATCTAAATAAAAATTTCCACATGCGATACATGCGTAAAGCCGCGCTCTAATCTTTGTGAACTCGAGGAGGGAACTATTCGCTCTGTTGTCGAGGACGAGTATTTTATGGTGGTCCGAGAACCTCCATGGCAAACGACATTCACTGTCGGCAAATGATGATTACTTCTCTCGGTCATTATCATCATCATTATCGTTAGGATCATCATCATTATCGTCGTCGTCGCCGTCGCACAGTTCATCATTATAATCATTGTTATGGTGCCTCTCGTCATCAGACTAATATGAATCGACAACCTTTTTATCTTACGAAGGAAAGTGAAAGAAGAAATGAAATTTCCTGTTCTGTCATTCCTTTGAAAATCAACGATTATCATCCGATTGATTTCGATCGTTCGAATTTACATAATTGGTATATGCATCCTGTGTTCATCGCGAAATCGAACGATGCCACTAGTGTTTGGAATTGGTTCGAGTCAGCTGACGAGATAATTTTACAATTCTGACGGTGATGCCGAAATAACTAACGTACTTTGTTGCGTAGCTTCAAAAATAACCGACCTATAAAGGGTCGGTCATTTCACGCTCCCCTAACACACTGTCCGTTTGTCCATTACCAAATTAAATCTCTTATCATTACGTAGATTAATTAAAGTGTCCAACATTTCCGGCACCAACCGGATCTTCACTCATGTTCATTAAAAAATTATATGTAGAAACTAATTGACGGTCATAGAACACTGGAATTATATATATTAAACAGGTCGTTCAATCTTTAGGTTTATCAACCTTTTTATTGCGTTATAGAGCTCTCTGCCAATTACGTAATCGTTTTAACTGTGTACTTTCCTTACACGTGATTTCATTCAATAATATTAGACGTATTATTTTATTGCGTTAGGTCATGAATATGATAGGAGCATCTTTTCTTTTAGATATCGATAAAGGAATAAGAATTGAATAAAAAAATATATAATGATATTCATTGGAGGATAGAATTACTGTCAATTTAAAACAAAGAAGAGAAACAATAATAAGATTTGTGGAAATTGATCTTTTTCGTATCGATCTATTCACGGTTCGTAAAGAAACAAAATTGGCTGTGTGCCAATAGATTTGTGCTATTTTGTTCGGCACCTCTGAGCGCTAAGTTCCAACTCGGCCCGCGAATCCGTGCGATCGTTTCCTCGACTCCCGACAATTCTATTTTCACGGATTATACTCTTCGAAATAATTCGATATTTAAAACAGTTATCAGTGATGTTCTAATAAAAACGATTTTAAAAAATTATTCTCTACAAACAGTGATCTATGAAGTTTTAAACAATTAGTGTAACGCACTTAATATAATACAGGGATAGTTTCGTTAAAATACTCAGTAACTCTATTAACCATTAAATACCGGGTTGGCACAGTGATATAAAAACTTGCAATTTGTTCCTCTCTTTCTGTATATTATGTAAGTTCTTATTTAATGTACAGCTACCGAAAACTCAGAATCTTTAATTTGTCTGAAATCTATCGCTTTGATCGATATGAAAAAAAATCTTAACATTTCAAATTTCACTCCACAGATTTTTATGAAACAACTCAAATTACAGCTAAAGATCCAAGAAATTGCTGTACATGCATAATATTATATGTATGCATTCCGCTATTACATGTCCAAAGAGAAAGGTGCAGATACAACAGGTGGAGTTTTAAATAAATATAAAAAGTGTAATAAGCGGGAAGCGCATGAATGAACAGTGATGCAATATTACACACAGTGAAAGGTTTTAAATATAGTTTATTCAAGTGGTTGTGTATAAGAAAATAGAATTGTCAATGGATATAAAATGAATTGATATTAGTAGATTGGAATTTAAAGATTATGTACGCCGGTAATGGTGAATCTAGTCGCCCGAGTGGCCCTGCGAGGTTCAAAAAAATTCTACAGAAGAAGGAAAGCATTCTTAACAAGTGGAGGGATGGTACGGTTCTTGCCAAAATCTGAGTTTTCAAAATCATCGTTGCGTATTCTTTTCCTTAATTTCCAAAAGTATCTCGACATATTTTCATTGATGCACAATGATAAATGAATCTTCTTTATCGAGTTAGATTAGATTTCAATTTGTGTTTTATTTTGCAATGAGATCGATGGCTGGCAGCACTGGCCGATATCGTTTGCTAAATATATTTATCTACAGCTCGATTCAAATACTAACAAGGAGGAGAAGTTGTAGTATTAATAAATAGAAATCATTTTTAAGTTTTATGACTACTATAAGCTTCCTTCTGTATTAAATTTTAAATATCTTAATATAAATCCAAGCTCTGTAGCAATCTAATAGCAAATTGCATTAAAAAATTCAGTCTTAAGCAGAGTCTTTTCTATTTTAAAGATATGTGATTTCATCCACTTTAAAAAACTGGATTTCGGAAAATAGTGCTCGGAGTAATCGTGCGATAGGTAAATCTGATTAACTTATAGTTGCTCGAATATCTCGAGGTCATATAATAAACTTTCTGTTACTATGAAAAACCTTTTTGACACCAGTCTGTAATAATTTTATTTACTTTTTAAGTGTCCTAATTCATGAGCTTAAAACATTGACTTTTCACTGAATTTATATCATCTTTATAAACTTTTGTATTATCCTTTCCTCATCTCATTTTTTTAATAAAAATGTATTTATTACTTTTATTGCTTCCTGCTACGTGAATACAAATTATGAATATTACTTTGATCGGTATTAGATTATTAATTAACTGCATTATAGCGTCTGCATAGTGTCTATCAGATTGGATCAGAGTATTGGTATAAGTAGCTTTGTATTTCTAGTTAATTTAGCTTGACAGTATGCGGTGGAATCGATTACACACAGTGTCTCTCATAATGCCGGTTCCTTCGTAGACAATGAAACTTCTTTTGTTACGTCGTAACTCGATTCATTTAAATGTCATTGAATACCTGAAACGGATTTATAAATAAACGAACGATTCGTTGAGATTGTTTTTTCTTTATCGAGCAGTTAAATAATAATTCCAGATGAGTAACTCGTAATACGAAAAATTGGAGACCACTACTTTTTCGAATAATATCATATCAATATAAATTAGACCTTGTTTTTGTAAGCATGCATCACGGTTCGATAGCTGCAATATTAGAAATCAATCTAATCGCATAGAAAATAGTCACTTTCCAGCTTCATCGTCATAATCGCTCTTCAAGAGAAAATTTAATAAGAGCCATTTTATACGAACTATAAGGCTATCAAACTTATATAGACCTTCCAACAACCTTCAAGTGCACCTTCGTATGCAATGCCGAAAGTGAAATTATTACAGAACGCATATAAGAAAAACGTATAGCCTGAAAGCGCAAAAAAAAATGAGCGAGGTAGTGCAAACTCATTGTAAACAAAAAACTGAATTCTATTACAGAGGTCTGCAGCGGAGGTGAATTACCAGAAGTCGAAATCATCAGTTTGTTAGAGGAACAAATACCTAGGTACCGCCTGCGAGCCGATACACTTACTCAGTTTCAAGGTAAATACAAATGAATTAATTATAGATTACAAATCATTTTCGTGGCACGTAACGTGGTTTCATCGGTATAAATTCTTTTTTATAATTCCTGTCTGTTCTTCATTATTTCAAGTACTTCAACTAAATAGTATAGAATCAATTTTTTGTTCACAGGATACGAAAACGCTGATTGGTTTATTCCGTCGCCAGCACTTAAATCGTTGGACACTGATTTAAAATTGTCACCGGACCAAATCCGGGAGACCCTCAACTATTTCAGTAAGTAATTGTTTATTTTATGACTTCGTTTTTGCTTGTTTGTCTATGTTGAACCCAAAACTGAACATCTTATGATATTAGATGACTTCTCATATGAAATTTAAATCGATCTTACTATGGCATAAGTCTACGTATTCTATTAAATTTAACAAGAATTGTAAGAATATTTTGTGGATTATTTTTCAAAGCGTTTTGGAACGTTGACGAAAATTTACAATCATGTAATCGCGGATTATTAATAGCTCTTAACTTCTAAACGCTTATTTCATCTTAAAAGCCTGCACAAAGAATGCCAAATTGCTTATCATCCTCATAAACGACATGTACAACTTGCCCATTCTATTTCTTGCCGATAAGCTAACTTTGACGATAAAATTTTACATTTATCGCACATTTGTTATCGTCAATTTGCGATAATATTCCTAGAACGTTGTTTCTCATTCATTTGTTAACTAGAGTATTGGTCATTGCGTTTCGTTATTTTCGTATTTAATTTATTCAAATAGAGGTATTCATGTTGCTTTTGAGAAACAGTATAAACTAATTGCAAGTTAATTTTATGGTTCGTGTAGATTAGTCACAAATAATTTAACATTTTGCCTTGCCCATCGATACTAGAAAACTATATTATTTAGAAGATATTTGTGAATTTGTATGTCCTAATTGCTTTTCGACAATTTTGTGAAAATAGTTATTAGCGTTTATTTGTGAAAAAATATTTAAGTGCTATGTTTTACTGTAAAATGTTTCAAGACATTCGTTTATGTACCACGAGATACCGCTGAGTACACGATAACAGCTACACATTTTAAACGCAACGATAACAATTATACCACAAAGAAAATCATGAAACTTTGCTCCGAAAATATTGAGAGTATTGATTCTCTTGAATCTTGAAGAGTAGGAAGATCGTGTTTATAATTCCGGTCACCTTATACCGAATAGCCTAAAATACTTTTTGCGTTTGTTTTTTTATTACTTAAAATAACGTTTTACGCTTCATTGATAACGAGTCACATGCAATTAGGCGTTTTCTCGTTGAAGCGTCTAATTGTAACAGCCGCTCGAAAATGTCCTCAACCAATCAGAACGCTTGACCCGCCGGTGCTACTGACGATGAGGCTTTCATAGTGTACTTTAGTCGCCGCTCGTCCTCCACGTTGGAAGGACGTTTCGCGTCTCAATTGTTTTGTCGTATGTGTAGAGAAGAAAAAACTTGCCTAATCTCCTTATAAACGGACTGACGTGCAGTTTTCATCTATTGTTTGTGAAAGAAAAGCACCCTTCTGTGGACGGAATGCGGTCAACTGAAAATTGCAAGTGAATATTCGTCTCTGAATGGACTTTCATCTTTAACATGTTCTTGTTTATGACGTATTACCAATGCAGTAAAGTCTTCACTCGCCGCAGCCAAATATTTCAGATTGATTTCTCGTTCGGTCGCGTTAGAAACTCGAGAACGCCTCTCACAAATTAATGCCGCAACGGAAATTCAGTATTTCGAAAATTAGAAAGCAAGAACTTCGAAAATTTTCCTTCACATTCTCTTATAAATTAAAGAGCGGGCTGTGTAGTTCCGCGAGTAACGTGGAAAATGTTAACGAGAGAAATGAGATTTTTGTTAATTGTACACACCCTTCTGCGGTACACTTCTCTGCGCAGTAAACATGTTTATCGTGAAAAAACCCTCGTATAATGTTAGTAGCGCACGGTATCTTGAACGTCAGATAAACTCACACGAAATACATTTCTCAAATACATCTCAGATTGTTACAGAAATATTTAATTTCCTATCGATTGATATAATCTCGGAGCACTAGGTTAGAGTAACTTAAAAATGACTTTTCCGTCCTGTTATTGTATTAAATTATTTTAAATCTTTTCAGTATTGACTGGCAAAAATTTCATGAGTCATACTAAACAAATATTATTCCCAAAGTTCCATTATACGCAACGTAAAAATATCTATGAAAATATGAATATTTTAAAGAGGTGTGTATTGCGGCAAGGTTAGGTTAGGTTTATAGTGATGGGATAAGTATATCTCTAATTTTTTCACATAAGAAGGGATACATCTGTAGATAGTATACTTAACATCATTAGTTCTCGTATCACAAAAGTAAACTAGATAAGAGTCTTCTTTCATAGTAATGGATGCATATGTTTCTCAGATCATTCGTATATTAAATTTTTATTATGCAATAACAGCATATAATGTTCGGAATTAGGTGCTTCATATATACGTACATGGAAGGTTTGCAAGAATTTTGAATTATTCCTGTTACATAACTTTATCTCTATAAACAACTAATTATAGTATAATAACAGATTTCAGAGATTTTATCTATTCCGAATTTCCAAAAATTGCTTGAGTCACGAAGTTTTCTACAAATATGAATAATAGCTTGATAAGATAGCAAATGCAATCAATCAACAGAGTCAGAATTCTTATGAGTATAGACGTCGATGGATTTCTAGAGTAACTGCTGAATGGTTTTGTGTTAGGTGTAAAAGTATTACACGCATTAATTGTACTTTTTTATTTTCCTGTTGTTATGACGATAATTTGCCTGTTTACCGTATCGGGTTAATGATTGAACAATTTGTTCGGATGTAGTTCGCGAGTATCGAGGTCGTTTTCGTGATCCGAGAGTATGAGTACAACGCCTTTTCCGACTCGCATTAATCGCTGTTCATTCGCTCCGATTATTTTATGCATTGAAATACATTTTTTTACAAAGCTATGTATCGTAAAATCATAACGGTACAGCGAGCATTTTCTGATAATCTTAAAACATGTTTATTATCTATTCGATGTTAATAAAGAGGTGAGATAACGTGTGAAGGAAAGTAATCAGTCGATTTACGGTTGGATACGCGATTTAACAGGAAAAAGTTTCTCAAGTCCTGTATTCAGTTTCCTTAAAGAATTACGCAATAATCGTTAAATAACCAATTATACTTCCTTTCTGTGAAAAAAAATCTATATACACAGCTCTTCTTGCATAGTTCAATGTTTTCCCACAGAAATAATAGTTGACGATTCTCCAGAAGAAAATGCGATAATGGGACGATTTATTGTTTTCGAAATTCTGCTCTCACACCAATTTATTACCACTAATTTAATTAATCGACGTAATTATTCAGCGATCACGGAAATTCAGTCTCATATGCAACCGATTTTTATTCGTTCGTCCATTGTGAACTTGTGGAAGAATTAAAAACCATTCTAACATCTCTCAAGCATTCGCGTTTTAATAATCGCAGTTGATGTTATCAAAAAAAGGATCTTAACATGCGAAATCTTTCTTTTACTTATTGATTGACATTTGGTATATTATGCTTATGAATCGACGAACTGGTTTAGTGTTATCTACAAATGAAACTCATAGCATATAGTTTGTGGCATATGTAGATCCATTTAATGGAAAGGAGATCCTTGAAATTGTTTCTGTTATAACAATTTTTATTTATCGTAACAATGTCAATCTTGGTTGTAACTGATTTATTTATTTATTTGCTGACGTTTTGTTTAATTTTTACTTATGTATTAAAGAAATCTGATATATTGATAAAAAGATAATTTTGTTTGATTCATCATGACGCTTTCTATTGATGGATCGGATGTATTGGAAATCGTCAACAATGGTTTCCTTATCAATGTTATTGCGCATTCTTTTCTTATTGATATATTTTCAATTACTATCATATTTCTCGGTAAGAGACACCTGCATTTTATCCTCTAATTAATAAATAAGCTTTGAGAAACTTTAAGTCCCAGATACTCTTAAATAGGTAGCTTCAGTAGCACTTTGGAAATAATCGTTGCGTCATTAATTTGCGATTTAATCAATTGGCGTGCGTTACCTATAATCATCTTTCGTAATGTCATACCTTAAACAGATTAGAACTATAATGTGCACGTGAAGAACGTCAGAATTATTTAACGAAGAATGAAGGACGGAAAATTGATGGTGTAAAAGAATTTCAACAACGTTTATGAACAGAGGTGTGTAAATCTCGATCATTCTGAGATCGAGAGTTGATTATGGGGACATGAGCAACGAGCACGATCCGGAATTGTCCTGGAAATCAAACGCGAAGTTGAAGCAAAGCCCATGCGGAAGAACAGAGTGTCGAGACGAAACGGACGAAGGTCATTCTTCGAAAACGACTGACAGGCCTCAAAATGTCTTCAATTGGAAGACGATTAAACACTGGCCGGGAAACTGTTTCCAAAGAAGTACCGTTGAGCCAGGAAACTATTCCCAGGGTACGGTGGAAGGTTCCCAGCGTGATCCGTGTTTGCAAACAATTGAGGATTCTCAGGATAATTCTGTTCCGGGACGCGGCGAAAGTCTTTCGGGACTTGGAGCCGAACAAGGAAGCTCCATGTGGAAGAGGGACGAAAATCTTGCGGAACAACGAAATTTGTCGGCTATCTGGGATTTAGGAAAAGCTATGAAAATGAATGAAAAACGGCAACCGGAAGAAAGTGCGAGTAGCTCGCAGAAAATGGATGACGATGAGTCAGAGATTTCGAAGAAACATTTCTACGTAGGGAGTCCCGCAGAATCGAGTGATTTAGAAACATCATGGAACATGGAATATCAGAACAATTGTTCATCGAAGTTTGTGAAATGTTCCCCGCGAACGCCTACATTTATGACTCTGGCTTTGGACGTCTCGTACGCAGGTTTAGATACTTCCGGTTTGCTGAACGTCCAATCCTCGAGTAAGCCTGATACTGATGCACCTGAACTTTGGAACGATGTCAGTATCGTAGAATGTTTGAGAAACAAATCGTCGTGTTACGATGAAAGTACACCCGAGGAAAGGGTCGAAGCATTGAAGGAAGTTTTAGCCGAAACTGATATTCACGAAGGGGATGGAGTCGTCTCGGATTTTTTGTTTCACGTTGCTAGGACGAAATATGGAAAGATTTATATCAGGGTTATTAGAACGATGCTTCTTAACCGAGGTAGGATATGAATGATTTATGTTATCGATTTCATCTTACACTCACTCACGAAACAGAATCCATAACTATAAATAACTCGGCTATAAAGGTATCCTGAATCTAAAGGTATCCTTCAAAGGTGATGGGAACAAGAGAAGAATGCATGGAAAATAACCTTTGAATCGTGACCTTTTGCTACATATTTCATAATGACCGTACAATGTAAATTTTTGTAATACTCTTTATATATACGTAGTTCAATAGGTCAAGCTAATTGTGTAAACAAATCATTTGTTGTTCCACTGTGCATTATTACAATTAACAATCTTATGATCATCCGAATTTTTTATAAGTAGTAGTATGAGTTCGTTTTACGTTTACTGAATGTACGGAGCAAGGAAATACGATTCCAATTTCCGTCATATTAAATTAATTTCTTTTCTGCGCTTGGAATTCGTTGATCCATTCGTTGAAAGTATGAGTTTTGCAACGAAAAACTGTGTCACTAACAAATGATGTCGACTTCTTAATGAGGCGATTCAGATGTTTAATTAAATCTTCAAAGTAACGAGGATAAAAGTAATTGAAGAGTATTCGATGACAAGACTCCTTCGTTAAGGAAATTAGTTTATTAAACTAACAATATATTTCTTTGTCTTTCTTTCTCGTAAAATGAAATGCAGTTCATGAGAAATGTTTATTAAGTATGCATGGACAGTCAGGTTTCCTTCGGTATGAATTTACTACATTTAAATCTCCCTCTCTCTGCAGTACGCATCTTTGCGCGCGCAGCTTGCTCTGACAGCTAATGCGACATGGCGCCGCAATAATTCAGTCGTTTGTTTCGTTAGATGCATTCTTCATGTTCTCCAAGTGAAAACGACGTTCCTTTTACTTGAAATGCGGCCAATTAGTTTGTGCGTGAACTTGTGTTTACATGTATAATCGACTATTAAGCTCGAATAAACTTAAAAGCAATTAGTGAAATGTGCTCGGTGCATCCTCTGACGTCAGAGGCGAAGAATTGAAGTGTTGAATGGTAAGTATTTAATTTAAAATAAATTCGAGTCGCTAGATAGTTTCTCAAATTTCATATTCATTTGTTACATTCGACTATTATTCTCCTCTGTTATCTTTATCTCATCGTAAAATATACTTGGACGATGATTACGAATCTTCCTGTTTGGATACGTGGCAGACGAGATTTTTTCAAATTTCAATAAGTCGATACATCGTGCGATGGACTTTTATTTCTCGTGTTATAGATGATGAGTAATTCTCTATCTCTTTAGCCCATGACGCTGCGTAACCTTCGCAACGAGACGCCATTTTTAAAAGCTTCAAGCTCTAACCCCTTTGTTTATTTTTATTATTCTTTTCCTTGCTAATGAGTACCCATCGTTTATTCATACGCCGCTCAATACTCGATTATTAAATTTAGTCTAATCAAAAGATTCATATACACGTAATACGTATTAAAATCATGAAATAAGTAATGAATGTTAACTTCTTAGCCTCTTGTATCAAATTCCTTACAAAAAAATTAAGAAAAAACGTTCATTACTGGTCGTCATTGGGTATCGTATAAAAGTGGATATAAATTTCTAAGGACAAGTGTTTCAATTGAATACGTAGTTCACAGACTTCCCGTTACGTTCGGAATAGCTAATGTTTAACAATTCGTGACAAACAATAAGGAATTATTTGGAGGTCAGCTCTCTCCGTATGTACCTTATGCAACGTAGAAGATTAGCCACGCCACCACGTGGTTATTTCCTACCGCAAAAGTACATCGTCGTTTTGTCTCATTATTTGACAAAAATTCATAGTCATCCAATAGGAAACGTTAGATTCTACGTATTGCATAATACGCTATAAATTTTAACTATACTGTTTATACCGTACGTATTTTATTTCACGGTTGTCTAAGCGTCGAGAAGAAACACGTAAATTCCAGGATTGATGTCACGAAACGTCAGCGTATTGATAATGCGTGAAATTAGTCACTCAAGTGGAGTAGTCTGTCCTGTACTTGCATCTTTGTTCCTATAAATAAAAGATGAGAGCGACATACACTCAGTTTATCGCACCGATGCACGTTCTTATGCAAGCTCGAGCCCGCGGAAAAATCAATAATCACCTGCGACTCCCTAAGGCGTTACATCAGATTCGTTTTGCAGTCTTAATTTTGATTGTAGTTTTATCCGATGGATGTACTAATTTTATACCACGTGCACTCGTCGTTCTGATTGTTAATTCTCACAATGTCTTTTGAAGTAATTAAATTATTACTACCTATTGATATCTTTTATAACATTTTTCTTCCGAGTATATTTTACATTAAATTTCCAGGACCTTCGTAAAATCTGATTATGTTACATTTTAAAAATTATAGCAGAACGTCGATTATAATTTTATTATAAGTTGATTGTTGTGGAAACGAAGTACATAATTAATGAGGTAGGAAGTTAGATTAGAAAAGAAGGTCCTGGAGAGAATTAGCAGTAATTAATAAATACAGCTAACGAATCAGCCATTGCTCCCGATCCTCCCTGGGTTCCTGGCCGATCCTGGCGGAGGAAGAAAGATCCGTCACGAACACCGCGCTCCTGGAACCGGGAGAATCTTCCGACCAGGAGCAACAGGATCCCCAAGAGGATGATCCTTATGAATACGATGAAGACATCAGACCTCCAAACGGGGATACGGAAAACGGTGGTGGTTTCTCGAATGAGAATTGTCCCAGCTCTTCTCGGGTACCTGCACATTGCTGGGGATGCACCGGTTGCACTGGATTACATACACCGATTTTTCTGTTGGCCTCCTCTCCGACGGAGCCATCTTGTACCTGCATTTCCTGTCAGTAATATTCTAATTGTCGCCGATTAAAATGGCTTTCAGCTTCTTTTGTTTCCTTTTATTCCGTTCTACCCGAGCTTTTGAATCGGTCTAACAAATCGGTCTGGTCGAAGGAAACTGCTATATCGAGTATGACAATGTGTCGACTTCGTCAAGAATCGCGTTGTAAGATTCCTACACGTAGTATTTCGATGAATATATTAGAGGCTATTTAAAGTGCGCCTCTCGTATTGACTGTAGAATTTGCAAAAACATACGTCACCTCGGCCTATTCTCAGAAACACCGAAACTTATTTGCGTGCCGTGCCCGCGGTTCAATTTCTTCTTTTACCGCACGGTCCTGACCTTGTGCGCTTACGCCCCACGATGAAAGGGTGAAAGACCACATATTCAGGCCGTTTTACCACACGTACGTGATACTGAAAACATTCAAAGCCTCTCTTCTAATTTTAGATACCGTTCCGAGACTCTTGTCACTCCATAACCTCTTATTCGAAAATCTCTTGACTATTTCGTACGATTAAATATACATTACACAACATTCTAACGGTACTTGCAATCCTTTTTGTCACTTGAAGTAATGTGGAGGAGCGAAAAAATTTTTCCCGTTAGGTACGATGACTGAATGTTTGAAGCAAAACCAGGACGATATAAAAAAGTTTTATGTTGCAATGCTAATAAAATTTTAATCTTTATTTTTTATTATAATGTAATCCCAGTTCTTATTATATGGCATTTTGTTGTTCGTTTTGTACATTTTTAAATCACAGGCAACGTTGGTTAACGCACGCTTTTTTAATTGTAGCCTAGTAACGTTGGTCGAGAATCACCGCTTTATTTTTAATCTCAAGCACAAAAAATTGATCAAAATGCAGAAGTGAACGCACCTGTTTCTTGAATTTGATAGAGTCAGACAGAAACGAGTGGTGCATAAGATTGTATAATATTTTGTAAATTACTGTAAGGGGTATGTAACAATTGTATACAATTTGCAATCAACGTTGTACCATTTATTAGCATTTGTTCGAGAGTTTCATTTAGTGTCGATATTTATATTATAAGGTTGTACGTGAACATTCTCTCAAATAATTATACCTATCTCTAGTTAAGAAGGACTTTCAAGAGAAATGTAATACTTACCGTCTCTGACACTTTATACCTTCTCGAGTACCTCGTATTATCAACATGCATGGTATCGGTCACATAAAAGTATATAATAACAGACAAATCCAGTGTTGTCTACTGACAGTATAAATGAAACAATATAATATTTTGTCTGTCATGATCAAATTATTTCAACCCATTCTTCACATTTTTCATGTTTGTAATTAAATAGAATTTACATGTATATACGATGTAAATAATAATCCTTTATATTTAATTGTTATTGGAATGTAAAATAAAGGAACAATAAAGAAGAAGACTCCAGTTCTTCATGATCAAGTATTTCCAAGTCTTTTCTATATTAATAGATTCTAGAAACTCTGAACCTGCGTTTCAGAAGTAGCGGGTCCTGGTGACCAAATGTATCGCACTGTCTATGTTATATTCTAATATGAGACATTTATTTTTGAAATGAAAACTATTGTGTTTTGTTACAACGTAGGAACTATACTATAGGTATTTACAAATTGTGCTTTGTAGTTCTGTGTGTTAATGCATATAAAAGCTATAGTTGTTCACAAAAGTATGCGACCCAACAGGATGTAAGAACTTCATTTTCTAACTAATATAACTAATCTTTGTTACTTTTAAAAGTAATATTTTATAATCCTTCCTAAAATACATTGTTGTTTAGGAATCTTGTATACTGATCTCTTTTATGTGTACATGTATGTTTATACAATATATCATCTATTCTATTTATAAATGTAAGAATGTTCAAGAGGAATCTTATCTCACGTAAGTTAAACAGATTCTTAAGTTTTCCATCCGCTTTGTACAATTTCGCTATTGCTACGAACCCAATTATTAATTTACAATAGCCGTGTTTACTCTGATATCTTTGTATGAACCGAACGCGAATTGATCTAATTTTATTGTCAACAGCATAGTTAGCGTATTCCAAAAATTACTTATTACAAAAAAATCAGCTGTATACACCTTTTAACTTACGAGACGACATCTTAAAATTATCATTCATTCTTAGAAGCCATAATACTAATTACGAGGTATATTCTAACAAAAAAACTCATGCTGTAATCGCAGACGATACACGTGACATTTAAGGATGTATTGGCTATATTCCCAATCCCAAAAGTTTCTGTACTTTAGAAAACGCATTTCCTTTAATTAAAAAGAAATCAGACGTCGGAAGAACAATGCTAATAATAAATAGCTACGTGCTAAAAAGTATAAAAGGAAATATTCAGTTAATTATTGACGCTGGTGAAAAGCTTTTTATACAGAAATTATAAGCCCTGATGTCCTCAACAAGAAAGATTCTCTGAATTTTTCTTCTAACTTCGATATTTAACGAGTTACATATGATTATTTTGCATTTTATGGATGTTGACAAAATCCGACCATCCCACCGTCGAAATGGCGAACTTTTGGCAAAAAATTTCGTTTTTCGTCAATAACTTCTAAACCGTTGGACCTACGAGAAAATTGCATAGAACCTTTCTTGTAGAGGACGACGAGATCTACAATTTCTGTATAAAAAGTTTTCGCTAGCATCGATAGTTAACGAGTTATTGACGAAAAACAAAAAAACAGTTTTTTGCAAATTACTCGTGAACTATTGGCGCTAGCGACAAAATTTTATATGGAAATTGTAGATCTCATCGTCGTCTACAAAAAAGATCTGATGCAATTTTCCTGTAGATCCATCCGTTTTGGAGTTATTGGCAAAAAACGAAAATTTCGCAAAATCTGAAGGGGTACCCCTTGGAAAAATCTCGGAAAAATAAAAATTTTTTTGTTGTTGTTTATTATTAGCGATGTTCTTCCGACGCCTGATTTCTTTTTAAAAAATGCGTTTCTAAAGTGGATAAACTTTTGGGATTGACTGTATAGCCAATACATCCTTAAGCAACGATTTAGTATGCATCGTGAGTGACATGCATGTGCGGAGTTCATTCTTGCACATATTCTTCAAATATTTTCGTGATTTATATATTTTAATCAATGTAAAGAAATTTGATTTCTCGTCTGTTTTATGTTCAGATATATTTCCGATTAGCATTCTTATTAACGGATGCATACTTTTGTGAACAACAGTCTGTATGATTGTTCCGGAATTTAATCTATTTTGACATACTGTAAATATATCTAACGGACAACAGTTTTATTATTTCAGCTTCTCTGTTCTTTTGAATATAATTATCTGAATAGTTATTATTATATAAATTCAGTTGCTCTTACTTAAATCAGTTCAACACATATGTATGTGAACTAATATAAATACGACTTATGTTTCAAAAGTTAATAGCATGTACTGATAATAGCATTGAATGTAATTTAAGAATGAGTGCCAATTTATTCGGCGGGCTTTGATTTTTACTTCGAATTCTTGTACGCATTCCCGTGTTAATTTCACTATTCTTTTGTCTTATCGTTCATATTGCTTGTAGAAGTATTCCGTTTCGTGATTGAATCACGGCTTCTTTATTACAAAAGGCTAAAGGTATTTTACATCACACACTGCTGTACAAATTATTGTTTTTTGTTTCAGTTCTGTGTAGCAACCGGGTGAGCCAAATGACCAAGACTTATAATGACATAGAAGCAGTTACAAGGCTTCTGGAGGAGGTAAATTTGATTGATATAAAAAAACTAATTGTAACTTGACACTTATTGTTCTCTTTGAAGTATCTGAAGGAATCATATATCGATTTGCAGAAAGAAAAGGATTTGGAACTGACCGCGCGTATCGGTAAAGAACTTTTATCGCACAATCAAAAACTTGAAGCCACAGTTACCAGTTTAGAGTCCGATTTGAAAGAAGCCAACGAAAGAATCACTCAACTCACGCACGAAGTCGCTAAGAAGACAGAACTAATTCAGATACTAACAAATGATGCCGAAGAGTCGAGTTCAGAAGCCGGCACGCCCACCGGAATTCGGGGTATCAACCTCGATATACTACAGAAAAAAATTAGCTCTCTCGAAGATGAGAACAAACAATTAAGGACCGAATTCTCGAAGCTGATGCACGAGGCTGATACTTCAGAGGAACAAGAAGCGAGACTCGTCGAAGATATTGCTGCTCAACTCGGTTAGTAAAACGGTATAATTAAATTCTGAAAGCTTAACTAACAGGCAAATATTTTTCTGTGTAGCAAGTGCAAACATGGAGGTAGACGGAATATCGGAAGAGCTCGACAGGCAGAAGGATGAAAATCGCCTGCAACATGAACAGATTGTTAGTTTGACAGCGAAATTAGATGAAACGGAATTGAGATTAGCACAGTTAATGGTCGAGCACGACGAGGTGGGAGCTACGCTGCTTATCACCAGGGATAATCAGAACACTCTCGCTAGCGAATTGGCAGAATTTAAGGATAGATACGCGGAGGTTTGTGCAGTTAATTTTACTTGGATTTTAGATGAATTAATTCTTAAGATGTATCGAATGAACGATTTTTTTTGTATTGTGAAAGGTGGTGAATCTCTTGGCGGAAACTCAGGAACAATTACGGAAGCAAAGGAAAAAGGGAATGCCGACCGTTAGGGGAGGATCTCTATTTCCTTCAATAGGTGCTGTTCCACAGCCAGATTCGATAGCCTCAGAACTAGAATCATCTCTTTATTCCGAACTCAGTTTAGACTCTGGTATCAGCGCGGATAGGATGTATGTAATTCACTAACCTCAACATTGATTTTGAAGTCGCTGATTCTACTTTTATACCATTGATGTTTCACAGACCGACGTATAAAAAGGTTTTCGAAACTGTGAGAAGCGCTTCGAGAGGTAAACCGTATCCAGTCGACACGAATCAGTTTCCAAGGATAGGTTCAATGACCACATCGACTCTGTCCAGTAGTTCCACCGGGCCACGTATGAGTAGTAAACAAACTCGAGCACTAACATCGATATTCCCTAGCTTGGAGTCAACTGGACGCAGCGATTCGGAAAGCTCGCTTCTTACAGATTCGGAAGAGTATCCGTAAGTACAGATTTGTTAAACATTTTAATCAACATATTCAAATGGACGAGTTAGTTTTAATTTCGATGGAATATCTAGGGGTCCACAGCAAACCGGAGTACCGGGCGCTCCTGGTGCAGCTGATTTAGAGGCAGCACTTCGCAGATTAACACCTGCGGAAGTTCTTACGAGGCGCGCTTGCCTCAGCACAGGAACAGGATACAGTTACGACTACGATGGCGGAACTCGTTCACCTTCCACCTTCGTACCTCTTGGTTGTAGAACACCGGACAGTATTATGTCAACTGGCAGTAGTGGAAACTTAAGCGGTTATAGCTCGAACGCTTGGAGAATTCCCGAGAAGCTGCAAATAGTGAAGCCTATTGAAGGTTCGCAAACTTTGCATCATTGGACACAATTGGCGACGCCCACTCTAGGTAATTATTTCAAGGATTATTTCATATTAAACGTAGCTTTTCAATGTCAAAACAAACTATTGCAAAGCCGGAAGAAAAAGGTTTGAACAAAAATATTTGTATCGTTTTTATAGGTGGTCTTTTAGAAGAACGGCCAGGTGTGAAAACTCGAGGCGGTCGTGGTTTGGAGGATTTAGGCCTAGTCACTTTCACGTTGAGCGATCTCGAGGAAGACGAAGAATATACCAACCCTGGTAAAATGTTTCAAGAAACAGATTCCGTATATACGTTCACCAACAGTACCGTTCTGCACCCCGACGATCATACGAGTGTAACGCCGAGTATAGTGGGTAGTAGAGTCGCAACAGCACCTAGTAGTGCTCTAAATTCTGGCATGAACTCTGGCATGAGTACTCCGAGAACGTTAAGCAGAAGGAATTCGACCTCAACGTTCTCAACTACCCTGGGACTCGCAAAGATGTTGAACGAAAGAGGTATCTGTCTGATCGAATCAGTAATTATCCGATACTGACTGGAAATAATTTTCTACAATATTTTGATCATTAAAATAGGTATCAAAGCTGTGACTCCTCCACCTGTATCAACACCCAGTGAAAAGAAGAATTTCACGCCTACTGCGACTCCTTGTAATAGTCCTGATACTAGTCCTCCAGAAAGTCGATCTAGTTCACCGAGTCCCGAGAGTGGAATTTCTTTAGGAATACTGTCCACAGGAGCTGAGTTGTTGAAGAGAACATTTGGCGGAGAGACAGAGGTATTTTAATATTTTCTACGATAACGTTAATATAGTTTGATAGCATCGTTTTCAGTTGTTGACACTTATTATTAAACAGGTAAAAAGGAAACGAACCGTACTGTCGAGATCGGATAAGAAGGCTCTCACTAGTATTCGTTTAGTAGAAAAACTTGAGAGAATAGGCATCGATACTATAATGGCGTCGACGGTCGGTTCCTCTATCTCTCCGTTAGCACTGCAAGGTTCTTTGTACACAAGGCGTGCCACCGAAAGTCCAATGGCTCAATTAACTTTCCTGAAGAGCTCCATGTCTTCGAGTGGAAGTCAGGAGAAACTTTCACCTTCTTCTTCCACAATCAGTGATTCCTCGTCGATTGAACGGAATGAGATGACACAAGACGAATCTATGCCGAATAGAGAATCCAGTCAAAGACAGAGAAGAACCGGTGCTAGGACGACGAGACCAGACCTTGGACAGGTTACACCTGCGATCCCTGTTACAGTCTCGAAAGAATCTCCTGCGCAATCCGCTTTGGGAACTATTAGCTCGCTTCTGTTTGGACGGAAGGGTGGATTACTTTGAGACCATTGTTTGTTCAGCGTTAAGTATTAGATTATCGCATGATAAATGTCATTTTTGGAACGATTGGTTCTTGAAATTATTCTAGACGTTTATAATACAAATATATTTTACATTCAATTCGCATCCGTAAAAAGAATTTAATCAGGACGTGTCTTCGTACGATAAACATAATCAAGCATAATATACAGAAATGTTCACTTCACGGAAGTGACGATACCAGTTAAGGTTTCGAAAAACCGAAGGCTCCGAAACGAAATAGTACAAAAAGGAAAACAATAATTGAACAAGCTTTTGACTTCGTCAAAAAGTGACATTTATTATGCTGCAATTACGGAAGAGAATTCACGCGAGTTTTTAACGAGTAATGAAAGTTCGTCGGAGCGATGATAAAATAAACAGTTTAGTTTGTTGTATTTTATACAGAAATGCTGATATAAAAGTTAAAGATTCTTTTTTCTATCATACCTATCTTGTATACAAGGAAGAATTACAAGGAAAGTTGAAGAAAGGTTGACAATATTTAAAATGGAAGAAATTAAGTCTGCGAATTTATTACATAGAGTAACTATATATACTCGTATAAAAATTGTAAATAAATGGAATGAGCTTTTATTATGCACTACCGATGGTAATATTGGTAATGGCATATGTGAAACAGGAAAGTCTGATGATTAATTATATTATTAACTTAACATTCCTAAGTTTAACTGTCCTTTTAAGTTTCGTGTGTTATTAAACATTTCAATTTTTCCATAGATTCCAAATATTATTTCATGCAAAAATTTGCAGTATTACAATCAGCGATGTAAATATTTACGAACAATATATCAAATGATTATTTTCTCAACGTTCCGACGTTCTTTACTTACGAAACGAACGAGCGAATTCCGTATTTTTATTTTACAAACCGACTATTTCGTATAAGCAGCTATATCATTGATTAAATTATTTTTTAAATGATTTATTGTACATAAGTAATCGATGCGCAAAAAAACGAAAAACGAAAACATTTAGTAGAGTTACATAGTTGAGAGACGAAATAAATTTGTAAATGATTATTTTCCATGCTCATTTTAAGCGAAAAGAAATCAATTTTTTGGCATGTGCAAACGATTAACTTGAAATCTTTATAATTTATATAAATATGTAAAACCAAATGGGGGGGATTAGAAAGGTGCTTCATGTGAATTAATTTGCATTGTATAGAGAATATTATGATAATGGTAGGTAATATTTAATGATGACTTAGGATGTTGCAATCGTGTTGTATGAGATGCTACGTTACGCAGTGTGATTTTTATTCATAATAGAGCGATTTCTTTCTATTATAAAATAAGCGAGACGATTTTACTTTTTTTTAATCACGCAACCATAAAACGAACTTGACTAGCTTCAATTGAACGGATATTATTTGTACCTTCATTTTGCGCCAAAGTGTATAAAAAGCATGAGAAAAGTTACAAAAAAAAGAAGATGCGACCTCAAAATTGCACGAAAAAGCATAAACGACTTCACTATAATAAACTATGATAAAGGTAAATTAATTTGTAACAGAAAAATGATAAAGGATGAGATAGTCAAAGCGTAAGAGGAGGAAATACAGTGATTACTATATTAAACGAAAGGAATAAAAGTTGCAGTCAGAGCACAATTTTTAATGACAGAATTTATAAAGTGCTTTTGATTTTTATCGGTTTCCTTCAATTCGTTAGCTTAGGAAACTCATTATGTTTTAGACTAATTAACAAATCGTGCTACTGTTGTTAGTCTTTCTTAAAAGACTTCGCAATTAGTGGTGCTGATAATGAGTCTAACTAGCATAGTCATCAGAAATTTTGTTTTTACCTTTGTCTCTTTTTTTTAATCGATTTGTGATTAAAAAAATTGATTGCGATATAATTACTTAAGTAAATGCGATGGTCGAGATGCAATTTTATTCGTAAATGGATCTCTGTCTTGTATCATAGGAAGGATTGTTTAGCAGGTGCAGTCTTGTACATAGAGGAGTACAGATTAATAAATTAAATTAAAAATATCCCATTATACCTGTTTTTATTTACATATAAGCTCCGCAAAGAATATTGTTAAACCATATAGAACATATGAAGAGGAAGAGTTTAGAGAGTCACAATAAGAATAATAACGAGACAAAAAGAAAACGTACCAATTTTATTAGACACGGTCTGAGTGGCAGGCTCAGCGATGAAATTTGACTAATTTGAATGATTGGAATCGCTAGTAGCTGCTAGTAGTTTATCGGCCTTAGGATAGTTAGTAGCGGTGTAATGAGGACGAGGAGTTATCTGATTAGTAGATGGTGCTGTTATCCACAAACCAGGAAAATTTTTATAAATAAATTAGAACGAGGACAGATAAGGGTGTTTGGATTAATCTTTAATTCATCCACTTTTATATATTTCTTTCTTTACATTCTCGGATGTGCTACTTTGTATGTGTAGCCTTTTTAAAAGTAGTTCATTCGTTTCTGTCAGATACGTAAATAGTATGTAACTCATACGTAATATAAATTTTTATATATTCGCGTATGTAATTTAATATAATTATTCGTGCACAAAAAATGGAGACCATTCGACCTTGCGGTTGTAAAGGGATAAGGTCCTGTCTTCTCTGTGAAAGGGAATATAATATTGTGAAGCCCAATCTTACGGATTACTTTCAGGTTAGATTTCTGAATTGTTATTTGTTATTCTAAGTTACTTAAATTTAATTTCAAGTTTAAGTTTGATTAAATAGTTTGTCTAAAATATATATCGATTCAGTTAAAACTATCAAGATTTAGCATTTGTTGGAACTACATCGATACGCCAATTTCCGAAGGGTAGAGTTTACCCCCTTTTCTATTTAACAAATATTCCGTTTAAACAAGTTCAAAAACATTTTAGAAATGTTCCAGTTATGTATATTGTCCGGATTGCGATTTGGCATGGCCCGGTTGGGATGCTGATCTTTATAAGACTCATCCAGATCACCAAGGAACACCTATAGAATTTCCTGGGGTCTACATAAAGGTATTTCTATGTTTAAAAATATCAGTTTTCCATCTTCAAACCATCGGAGACATTATGACTTTAAAGACCATTCTCAATCATCAGTTAGCATATGCTAATGGTTTATAAATATCAAATTTTCAAAAGAAAGGAAGATTGGCTCTATGGAGACAATATTTACGAGATATTATTGAATTGTACTTTCATTTCTGTGTGAATAGCTAGATTTTTTAACTTCTTGTGAGACTGACTCATTGGTCAGTGCACTTGAAGAAATACCTTGGGAAACTTCCCAAAGTGGAAGGAGAAAACAGGTATTTCAAAATCAATCGAATTCTAAAGTACTGATAAAGCAAAGAGGACGTAAAATAATTCCGAAATTTAATTTAACAAATTCAGAATTTCGGTCCGAAATGCAATTTCAAAAAGAAAAAGTTTCAACTGGGTTCGTTCAACGGTTTCCCAAAGTCTACTCAATTTGTGCAGCAAAAGTTTTCTGAACTACCTATACTCGAAGATTATCGCACAGTAGAACAATGTACGTTAGAATACGATCCGGCACGAGGGGCATCGATAGATCCGCACATCGACGATTGCTGGATATGGGGTGAAAGAATAGTTACCGTGAATGTCTTAGGTAACTCAGTTCTCACGATGAGCCCCTACCTCGGACCAGATACCAAATACAATTTGAAAAGCGTACCGGAATACTCCATAACATTAAAGTTTGATATAGAAAATAAGTACGAAGAGAACGAAAACATAGTCGTAAGGCTGCCAATGCCAGAAGGATCTCTGATGGTTCTTTACGGTATTGCAAGGTAAACGAGTTTTGTTATATTCGAATCATGAATATTTATTCGTATCTCAGTGTGCGAAAACATTTCTATAAAATCTTCGTTACGGCAACGAGACAAGTCAGTCCATATTACATAATATTACTGTTTGCAAATAGTTACCCGGTTACTTACAGAATTATTAGGGCCGAATGATTTTTATAGGTACAAATGGGAACATAGCGTTTTAAGAGAAGACATAAAGTCCAAACGAATCTGTTTGGCATATCGCGAATTAACACCACCGTATTTAAGCAACTCGAGGAGTAACGAAGAGATTAAAGAACTCTTGAACAGGGCTTCAATCTTCCGAGGCAATGCAACTGTAATATAGAATTAATTTATTTTAATTATGTATATAATGTTGAAATTGTACAAAATATTTAATTACACATCTCATTATAGGATTGTAGAAATATATTAAACTCTTTCCACTGTACGATCACTTGTTATCACGATTTTCTACTAACGTAGATTACTGACATCCTTTTCCTAACTCTCTTAAGTCTTAACTAAACATTTTCGAAGAAATCGGAAAGACAAAGTATTAAATTCGAATGGAGAAGAGACAGGTGAAGTAAATAATATTTTTCCCAAGAGCTGAATGTTTCTACAGCTTTAAGAAACGGAATCGTGTTACTCTAATATTTACATATAAATAAAAGTACGATCGTTAGAAAGTTGGAACGAGAAACAGAAAAAAATTTTAAGGATTCTTCAAAGGTTCGGTAGAGGACATGTATACAACTGGGAACGTTGTTACTGGATCGGATTTTCCCAATGGTTGATACCCATCGACCAAACTCTGTCTCAACTCCCATTTACGCCTTTCCCTTTCCGTCTTTTGTCTTCTGATCGCTCGGCCCAACATACAGGCGAACATTATTCCGGTTAACTGAAATTAAAAAGAAAGTTCACACTTATACGTCTAACATTTCTTCAATTGTACCAAGACACTTTTCTTTATACGATGAAATAAAAATGAGTAATACAAACCTGAATGAGAGCAATCGCGATTGCACCTGTGCCAATATACAGCGCGCTTCTGTTAATGATGATCGAAAGACTTCTAATACAACCGTGTTCATAGTGTCCGCATGCGGAATCTTCGAAAGTATCAGCACCGAAATGAACGATGTCAATATTCATACAATTTTTGCAGGAATCTGGTAGACCCATTTCTGTTGGCATGATGTCTGCCCAATCGCGAGGGCCATTATATCCACAGCAGTAGAGCTAATAAAATAATCGATTGATTTCAGTATCGAAAAGTAAGATTAAAATTCAAAGAGTGATTTTAAGTTGACGTCGGTATAAATTAATGAATGCTCGTAAAACATAAATATTACTCTTGATTGTAGAAAATCGATAGCGTCTGTAGCCTCGTCATTCTGTTTATAGAGGTGCATGGTAGTGTTAATTTTGTCAACAAGGAGACCCTTTATTCCGTCTTTAAGAGCGTATGCTGCAATCGCAGCTGCGAATTCTAACACGAGAACAAGCGACAGTGACACTGCAAACTATAAATAAAATAATACACTTTTATGCTGTATTAGTTCAGTTGTGTACATATAAAACGAGTGCTTACCACTAGAACCATACAGGTACTTTCTCTAATAGCTCCACAACATCCCAGAAAAGCAATTATAAAGACCAGTATACCAACGACAATTAAAATAGTCGCCGGGGAAAAGTAACTGGGATCCAAAAAATGAGAGAAATCCTCGTAAACCGCATAGATCGTTGTGCCAACAGATATTATCATAATCCCCGTTAGCTGTACGCAAATAACAAATATGGAATTACATATTATGATTAGATCTCTAAAATATATTCGAACGATATAGTTTAACAAACTAGGCTAACAGCGAAGGGTTGTCGAACTCATATCAGTCAAAAAAATACTCTTCACTTTCAATGCAATCTATAAAAAAAGACGGGAATTCTCTTATCAAATATGAACGAGATTATAAGTTTATCTGAACTGATAAGACAGGCCGTGTGCGGTTGCCAGACAGCAGCTTTCGACTTTAACAGTGATCGCAGAAAATGAAAACCTTCGAGCAATCATCATTTTGTCGGGGTATTTTTATAAATAATGGTCATCGTACATAGAATGTGGCGAGAGAGTGGCAAAAAGGGGAGGGCTGAGGGATGGCTCGCTACGTCGCGGACCTAACTAATAATTCATCGGGGACGACCTCGCCCAACCAATATCGATCCTACCGCGTACTCGTTCGGACAACGCAGAACGCCGTAGAACTTATGATCTAGTATATGCCCGCGTTGAGGGTTGACCTAACTTGTTGAATCTCAGGGCCGAGTATGGTTATTCTCGTTACATTTTCTCCTCGTCTATATACGAGAGAAAGTCGATGATGTCGTTACAGTTATCGTAGCCAACCTCGTCCACATTGATCGATCTCATTTTTCGCTCGCGGCTTGATTAACGCTTGCTTATCATTTACCTATTCAATATAGAATAATAGCTTGTCTGTTTGACGAATAATAACGATAGCCAATTTTCCTCAAATCGGTATTTTGCTCGCAATTATTTTTATTTATCTCTTTATTCTTCATATTCTATTCTCTTCAATATTTTTAAATTGGGATTGGCTTCTTCTTGTACGTCCTTTTAATAGATTTGCATTCGACAATAGATTGCGCAATAACGTTGTAACATGTTTTTAAGAAGTAGATACATACTTTGTGATAATGAATCGAAATACATTACTTATTTCTCCATTTATTCAAATGCGGATTTGTATTTGAATTCATGCCTGAATGTCTTTTTTCAGTATTAATCACAATTAAAATTACGAGTTTCTTATCTAATTCTTATCAAACTGTTTAACTGCGCAAGTGGTTAATTAATTTTAAAATTGCAGCAAATGATAACGTGTCCCATCAGTTAAGAATAGTCCGATTAATTGTATAATTTCCAAATTTCCAAAAACCGGATGAAGTTTCATGTTCAAGCTCGTAAGGAAAATTATTGACAGAAGAAGGAAGGACAAATATTAGAGAGATAACACGTGATAATTTACATAACTACGACTGAGTCATAAGATATTGATATTCTATTACTCGATTGAAAACCGCCGACATAATCTCCACGAAAGGCTGCGAATAGCGTGTCCGAAGTATCTAACAACGTACGACGAAATATTTTTAAAAATAAAAAAGAAGTATGATCGTGCGACATTACAGGAAACAATAACGTTTTTACGATACGGTAACGGTAAGATAAACGTGAATCATAAGGTACTAATACTCGACTGCTTGATAAGTGATCTTAATGAAAGGTCGCAAATAACATACTCAAGATTTCCAAAAGAAAAAAAGAGGATTAGCAATAAAAAAAACTGCGAGAAGCAATAATGATTACTGGCGAGGAGACGATGACGAAGAAATAGTTATTAACAATCGACGATCTAACGAGGAGATTGTGCGCGTGATTCAAATAATTTGAAACGGACGGTCGTCAATCGACCAGGTGAAAATTCGCGTTCCTACCAAAGACGAGCGTACGACATAATGATGATCGAAGGAGGAATGAGAAAAGATGATGAAAGAAGGTGGTTTACAGACCACAAAGAGGGAGTTAACCGCGAAAAGCAGGTACTTGATGCAACGGAGACCGACGTCGAGGTGTGTGGCAGCCATTTTTGTGTCCGAGAATCCTCTTTCACGCAGGTGCACTACGAAACTGAACGTGGAAACACCTTAAACACGATTCGACGTACGACATTATCTACTGATAAAGCGGTACGCGTACCGTCGTCGTCGACAACATTCGTAGCGCTGCTTGCCAGCGTGTTTCTACAACCATCTTTTTCCTCTTACTCATTTTTCATTTCCTTTATTTTTAATCTCTTATCGTCCAGGATTTCGTTTGCTCTCGCGTCTGCGAACACGCTAGCTATATCAACAAATAACATTTCCACTGTTTTTTAAAGTAGACTGTATTCTTGATTTATGCAGAATTAGCACGTTTCATATATTCTTTGGGAAGGTTTTATTTCAGAAAAAGCATCAATTATTCAAACTGCTTCGTCGTTAGGTCTCCGGCGAAAGGAGCTCGTAAAACAGAATGAATCGCGTATATTTCAATGATGCGCGCAATGCTGTATAATGAATGGCTGTCAATAAAACAGAAGAGATATTTAGGACAACCTAATACTTATTGCTAGCGTGAGGAGCCACTAAAAATGTGGTCGGCACTGGCACATCGACCGATCGTTACGACCATGCGTGAAAAAACACAGAACATGACTCATGCATATCAACCCGTAGGTAATTTAGCACACCGTTCATTATTCATATGCGGAAAAGTATTACAAGCCATGGTAAACTTCAATATTTCTACCACTGAGATGAAACGCGATTCGATTCCTCAAAATTCCCATCGCGTTCGATTTACTTTAATTCTACTTGCTCATCATCTCTCTCAACGCTGGTATTAAACTTAATTAAAGAACATCGAGTCTCCCAAAAGAGATTCATCTATTTTATTTTATACAAATTTTACAAAGTGCACAATGTATTTTTTCTCATAAATACAATCTCAAAATTTTATCAACAATATATGAATTAATGTATATTTTACAACTTAATGGAGATTCTAAATATCATATCACGATATATGACTTAGAAAATTAATATTCCTTCAAGAAATTCGAAATGTATTAAAAATTATAATTATAATACATGGTTTTGCAATCAGCAGATTTATGACAGCAAATATATAATCGTATTTTATATTACATTTTTATAATCGTATTTATCTTTGAAAGATATTACACACTTTCGTAACTATTCTTTATCGATAGTGCTAAATAAATCGAGAACCAAATTCCGATTGCCTAGAACAAGAAGTAATAAAATTATTACATACATTCTAAAAAAATGTCGTGCTGCTTCTCAATTCCGCATTTACAAACGCGTTAGTTACCTGAATAACAGCAATACCGATGCCAACACTGCCAAGTTGCACAGCGTGCGACTTGACGTAAGAAAGAAACACAGGGTAACAGCCAGCTTTGTGCAGAGTAGGTGCCGTGTCGTTACAATATGTCAGTCCTATAGCTCCT